GGGTTCCCTAAACCCTGAACCCTGAATATGGGGGGGGGTCCATTCACCACGCAGAGCCTGAGGCCCTCCGAAACGATAGCGGCCGCTGGTGCCTCCGAGACAGGACGATGGATGGCTTTTGGTGGTTGTACTCTAGCGTCAACCCAGCTCCGACTGCAGAAAACCCTGTCAAGATTACACTGTACCTTGAACTACCATAACCTACTTTTTGTAGGTCCTTATTATAACCCTCATATCGAATTTAGAGGGAACCTACAAAAAAGTAGGTTTTGGTAGTTTAAGGTAGAGGTTCTGTGTCATTTGATACTCCGGCCTCGTCTTTGTCGACAGGCCCCTGCTGCGAAGACCTTCCGGAAGCCTCCACAGAGTGAGGCCTCGGAAGGGGCCCCGCAGCGACTTTCTGTGCCTCCTGGCCCCTATGGCCGCGCCTCCGTCTCCTCGAGCCCTGGGACTCCGTGCGACGGGACCGCCGTCTCCGGGAGATGGGCGTTGCTGGGATGTCTCCGATGAAATCTTCGCAACATCCCTGGCATTCGCCCAAATCCTTCCTTGCGGCCTTCGTGGGATCTAGGACTCCTCTCGGAAGAGGCCCACCCGTCGCAGCCTCTGAGATGGTGCCGTTTGTGGCTTCTGGCACTTCCGAGCACTCCTGGCTTTGGCTCAAGGGGCCTCGTCCTGCAAAGTCCTTCGACTCGCTTGGAGGCTCCGGTCCCTTTGCTTCCGACCCTTTGGGAGCTCCCGGAGCTCCTTCGAACTCCTTCTGCTTCCGACTCCAGTCGCGCAACTTCTCGTTCATGGCCTCGCCCTCTCTTCGCTTGCGCTCTTGCGCCTGCTTCAGCAGCTCCTGGAGCGAGGCCTTCTGCTGCTCGTATCTCCTGGCACAGAGGAGGCTCCGTTGAAACTGGCAACAAGCCTCACTTGCAAAGAGCGGGGCCTCCGAAGGACCTCCTCGGCGTACTCTGCAGATCGGCCCATGACCTGGATTCAGAAGCAATCCCCGATTTTTGACATTGATAAGCCCTCATAAGCTGAATTAAGCCTTAGAATAAACCGTCAAACCCTAAACCCTCAAACCCTACTGAAACCCTAAACCCAAGTCTCAGACTTTCCTAACTTCCACAGGACCCCATATACCATAACTATACTATGGACCCCCCCCCAATAAATAGCATAATTAGGTCCTTACTTCCCCTGGAAAAATCCGGGGCCGGGCCTCTTCGGCCTCTTGCTGCATCTGCGCCTCCGCCTGTCGCCAGCGCCGCTCCTCCGTCTGGTGCTTGGCAGGGAATGGGGGAATGGGTTACAGGGACTACTATAAGGGACCTTAAGGGACTATCATAGCAATCCATTCCCCTAAACCCTAAACCCTAAACCCTAAACCCTAAACCCTACACCCTAAACCCTAAACCCCTAAACCCCTAAACCCTAAACCCTGCACCCTATTCCCTACTAAGCACCAGACAGTCCTCCGAGGTCCCCGCGGCCTCCGCGAAGCGCGGCGCGCCGCGGCCGCTGCGCGGCTCCGGGTCCGGTCTCGGCTCCGGAGGAGCCCGGGCTGACCCTTCGCAGAAAGGGAAGAAGGGTTTAGGGTTTAAAGGTTTAGGGTAAGGGGTTTAGGGTTTAAAGGTTTAGGGTAAGGGGTTTAGGGTTTAGGGTTTAAAGGTTTAGGGTAAGGGTTTTTTAGGGTTTAGGGTTTAAAGGGTTTAGGGTTTAGGGTTTAGGGTTTAGGGTTTATTAAGCTTTAGGGTTCAGGGTTTATAGGGTTTAGGGTTTAGGGTTCAGGGTTTATAGGGTTTATAGGG